ACAATGGCCGTCAGGAAATACCACCAGTCGCGGCAGGATTTAAATACGAGTAAGGAGAGTAAGACAATAGATATGCCCACGCCATTGCCCATCTCGGTCAGCACTTTCATAACCACGTCCAGGAACGGTGTATGGTGCATGTTGACGGTGCCGAAGAGTACCTGCCTGTCGAAGGTGGCCAGTAAAACAGCGCCCACCAACACCCATAAAAGGAATGGCAGAATGAACCATGGATTATAAAAAGCCCGCAGGTGTCTGATCATTTTTTTGATTTAATAATTCCAGCCTTAGTAGCAACGCGTCTAAAATAATTTAATATCCTTATATAAAGATCTTTTGTGAAGATCTGCGAATCATTCCTCGCGGCGCGGATAATAAAAAAGGCGATCGGCAACAGCATAGCAGTAGATAACCACATGCCAATATAAGGAGGTAAGGCACCGGAGGTAGCTAGTTTTTCTCCGGTGATACTCATGATATGATAGAATACAAAAAAGCCAACGGCTACTACAATCGGCAGCCCCAGCCCGCCTTTGCGGATAATGGCTCCCAGCGGCGCCCCGATCAGGAACAACAGCACACAGGCAAAGGAAAGCGTGAACTTGGTATGGAATGCTACGGCAAACTTGCGCATATTTTCGGATGAAAACTGGATACTATTGGCAGTAACCCCGATCATGCTGGCCTGGTTCTTCAGGTTGCTATTGGTCAGGTCTGTCACACGGTTGCGCAGCGAATCGGGCACCCGCTCCAGGAACGATTGCTGGTAGGTCAGCACCGTGTCTTTGCCGGACAAGATCTTTTTCAGGATCTCCTTACTTTCTTCCGTATTATTGATCACCTGTACATAGGGGGTTATATAGCGGACGGATATATCGATGTCGTGCTGCTGGTTTTGTTTGATCGTGTCAATATTGGCAATCAGCTGCTGCACATTCATCATCTGGTAATTGCCTTTAAACAAGTCCTGGCTGGTATTGCTCATCTTAAAGGCAGAAAGGTCAAACACCTTGTCATACTGTTTAAAATGCATGCGCATCTGATCGGCGCCCATACCGCGGCTCACCATATTATTATTGAAGCCTTCCTGGTAGCGCCAGCCATTTTGCAGCCGGAAGATCAGGTAACGTTTGTCTGTCGACGAGATCATTTCGCCCTTCTCCGCAAGCACTACATTATCATTGCCCATCCCGCTCGACTGATCGTAGATGATCACATTGCGGATAGTACGGTCGTCCTTATCCTTCTCACCGATCTTAATCGCATAATTAGGAATATCATGATTAAACATGCCCGCCCGGATGTTGAGCGTGGGCTTGGAGTTGCGCAGGTTGTATAAAAGCGATAAGGCTTTCAGGTTGGCAACCGGGATAATATTGTTATTGAATATAAAGGCACCACCGGAGATGAAGAGGATCAGGATCAGCAGCGGGCGCATAAACCGCAGCAGCGAAATGCCGGACGACTTGATGGCTACCAGCTCATAGTTCTCTCCCATATTGCCGAAGGTCATGATCGAAGCCAGCAATATACCCAACGGCAGGGCCAGCGGCACCATGGTGCTGCTCATGAAAAATAGCAGTTGCAGGATCATCCAGGCGCCCAGTCCTTTCCCCAGCAGCTCATCCATATATAGCCAGAAAAACTGCATCACCAGTACAAACAGGGATACGAAAAAGGTGACGAAGAATGGGCCTACAAAGCTTCGTATGATAAATATGTCCAGCTTTTTAATCAAACAGGATAGTTTAAGCGCTGCAAACCTACTTTTTTAAAAGAAAAGGTAGGGTG